AATTAATACCATGAATACAAGTATTAGTCGTCGTCCATCTTAAACAGCTAGACCATGTGATTATATGGTCCGCAATTGCCAGTGACAAATCAGCAAGCTGTCGTGGCATCATAGCAGCCATTCACTTGACCAAGTCATATCACTACACACTATATGTCACCAAAAACTTTATTGTGTCCATCCAATTAACATACCAAACTCCTTTCTTTGGGAAGATTCGTCAGAGCCCATAACTTCAGATTCAATTCGGGAAACTTTTTTTTTTTTCTTTTGTTTTGTATATAAGTCTAACCAATTACATCACAAGAAAAGAAATTTTTAGCCTCTTCAATGATCAATGCTACAAAAGTAAGTAGATTGATGTGATGGAATGATCAATGCTATAACCTTATAAGTAAACCAGAAGTCGTTAGATTTATGTCAGTGATGAATTAATGCTAAAATAGCTTATATCTCAATCAACCACCAGAGCATAGGTCTAATCTCTAACTGAAATTTTGCTCCCTAAATTAATTGTCTTTTTCAACACTTGGTTTTGATACATTTGTACGATAAAATAAGGAAATCTAACGTGTCTTTACATTTTGAATGAAGAGTAAACGATTTTTTTCCACCTAAAGTTTACCTTAATGACACTTTTCCATCCAAAAAATTTTAAAATATCACTTTTTCACCTAAAGTTAATATTCTATTACTACCCAAAGCCGGCTTCAACTGATTTCGACAATAAAAATTCTCTCTATCACTACTATTTGAACTTCTAGTCTCCTCTCTACAAAACCATCTCAATCTAATACCTGATTTCTCACCGATTGTCAGCCACAACAAAGCTAGGATTTCATGTTCTTAGTTGATTTTCGATTGATATCGGCGACGAATATTCAATGGATCACCACCATTTGATCCACCGACCTCCACTCTACAAAAAACCTCATGCCTTAGCTTTTGATAACTCGTCGAACGTCAACTGAAAAAATAAAATGTATTTTGTGTTTTAATGGAATATAAACATTGGGTGAGAAAGTAGTATTTTGAAACCTTTTTGGTGGGAAAGTGTCATTAAGGCAACCCTTGGGTGGGAAAAAGTCGTTTACTCTTTGAATGAATTACTAAGCAGTGAGAATCAAATACTAATTTGGAGAAATTATGATTCTTTTATAAATTGTCCTCAATTTTCATTTGAGATTAAAGACAAACAAATAAATATTGGAAATTATCAAAGACTTTAACTTCTAAAATAACTGACAATACTATAAATACAAGTATTAGTTTCAACCATCTTAAACAGCTAGACCAAGTGATTATATGGTCCACAATAGAGATAGGCATTTGGAACTGGGTCCAAAAACCCAGTCTTAGGACTGATCCTCTCAAGGACCGATCCTAGGAGGCTTGGTCCCATAGGAGGGCCCGGTCCCTCCACTAGGCCCTCCTCCAAGGCCTGGCCTGGGCCCAAATTTTTTTACATATTTTTGTTTTAATCCATTATATAATTACATAAAACCCCTTATAAATTTTGAAATACACATAAATTATAAGGGTTAAAATAAAATTTTACAAAATTTATATATATAAAAAAAAAAAATTAACTTTTCTTTAATAACCATCGGCAGTAGGCAACAGTCATTCCTCCCTCCTCCCCCCCTTCCCACTACATTATAAATAAGCCTAAAATCTTTCATTTTTTCCACACCACTCAATCTCTCTACTCCAAATCTCCAATCAAATTCTTATTCAATTTATATTTCTATTTATAATTTTTATTTATTTATTTATTTATTTATTTATTTATATTATTCAATTTTTTCTATTTTTCAATATCATCTCTTTTCATATTATTATTTAATTTCTTTTCATTTTAATTATTTATTATTTTATCATAAATTCATAATGGATTCCCGAAATGATGCATTCGGAGCATGATCCCCAAATGAGTTTTACGTTCCATCCACCGAAGAAATGAAAGGGTTCAATCCATTTTCATCCTTTCCTCCAGAAGCAGAAGCAGCAGCTGCAGTTCCACAACCACATTTAGTCGGGACAATGTGTAGCCAAACACATGTGAGCTGCGAGTCAACGGGCATGGGCATAGGCCAACTCCCCCGACCGTCAAAGAGAGTTGTATCCGATGTATGACGGCAATTCACCAAATCAAAATGGCCAAAGACAAATGAGGAGGGGGATGAATCATGTGGGATATGTAATTTCTGTGGAATCATTATTAGCGCTAAGAAGGGGACTTCGACGATGTGACGACACATGAAGAAGAAGCACCCCCAAATAATGCAGTTGCCCGGTACATCTTCAACCGGATCAGGTAGACAAATTCAAGATCAATTTAATTTTAATCCACAGTCCTCAACTCTCTCAACATGGCAATACAATGCACATATTGCATGAGAGGAAATAGCAAGGTTCATAGTTGCTACGGACTCTCCCATTTGTTTATCTGAAAATCCATATTTTATTCACATGATTAAAACTGCATTTTGTCCAGCATATACCCCTGTTAGTAGAAGTACAAGTAGAAGAGATATACTAAAACTTTATAACAAAATAAATAATAAACTTAAAAAAGAATGTCAAAATTTTAGGAATATATCTATTGCACTTACATCAGACATGTGGGCTTATAGATCAAAAACCGATTTTTTAACTGTCACAGTACATTTCTTAGATCATAATTAGGGTTTACAACAAAAATTGATGGGTTTTAAACCATTATATGAAAAACATAGTGCTGAAACTATTTATTTTACAATTCTTGAAGTTTTGCAAGAATATTTATTAACTGATAGAGTTGTAGCGCTAACGCTTGATAATACAGCTGCTAACACCGCGACAATCTCTTTATTTGAAAAGAAATTGGATCCGCGTGGTAAAGGCAAATTTTTTCACTAGAGATGTGCTTGCCACATTATCAATTTGATAGTTAAAGAAGGTTTAGATGCTATACATTTGAAGATGGAGAGGGTGAGCGCGGCTATCGGATTTATCGCTGGCAAGAGTACGTCAAATATTGTAAGCTAGAGGACCCACCGGTTCAACCTTTGAAGTTATGTATGGACATGCCTATCCGTTGGAACTCTACCTACTTGATGTTGGAAAAAGCTTTGCCAACCGCGAAACAAATTACAGATTTCGTCAACCGAAAGCACTATCTAGAGGAAGTTGTCAGCTATGATGATTGGGCGATTTGTGAACTTTTTTATTCATTTCTTAAATTTTTTTATGATGCTACTAATACATTAAGTGGTATTTATTATTCGACTACTAATTTAGTGTTAGATATTTTACTTCAAATTGCTAAAACTTTTGCTAAATATAGATATAATAACGTTTTAAGGGAAATTGTTTTAAAGATGGAAGAAACATATGAGAAATATTAGTTAGATATTCCATTCTTATATGGATTAGGCCTTGTTCTAGATCTCAAGTTTACATTACACGTAGTTAACTATAAAATTACTGAGTTAGGTCAGCATTTAGGACATGATTATATGTCTTATTTGACTGACTTTAAACAAAAATTGGATAGTCTTTTTTTTTCATATGAGAACAGGTACAATGGAAGTGGAAGTGGAAGTGGAACGTTCAGGAGAGATGATCAGGATCTTGATGCAGCCCTCCGTCAAGGATCGAGCAAGTGGACATATATGGAACGTGGCAGAAGTAGTAGCTCCAGCTCGTACATACATGGACCAAATGAGCTGAATCGCTACCTACAAGTTTACTTTTCCTTTATGACTATGAAAGAGAAACATGACATGGATATTCTTCAATGGTGGAACCAACATGAAAGTCGATTCCCCATTGTAGCCCAAATGGCACGTGACATTTTATATGTGCAGGTTTCTACAATTGCATCCGAGTCAACATTTTCAATGAGTGGTCGGATTATTGAAAACAGAAGATGTTTTTTTAACCGATGAGATGATTGAAATGATAACGTGTTTACGGGATTAGACTCATGCATGAAGAAGACAACAACAGCACCCTAAAGATCCCGAACTACTCGAACTCTTTAGGAATATAGATTTGAATGATGTAAATATTGTTGATGATGAAGATGAATAATTTAATAAAAAAAATATTTAATTATTTATTTGTGAAGCGTGAATATGTAAAATGTGAATATTACATTTATGTTAAAAATTAAAATTAACTATTTATTATTTTATTATTTTTTTAAATTAATTAAATTTTTAGAAACTTACTAATTTATCCCTGAAAAATACTAAAAACCCCTATAAAATTTCATTTCGCCCCTAAAATATAAAAAAAGATTAGAAGAGGAAAATAAATTTTTCAGGCCCATAGGACCGGTCCTAGAGACCGATCCGGATCCTAATATTTCTCATGGGCCCGGGACCGGTCCCAGGCCCATGAGCAACTGGTCCCATTTGGGACCAACCCAAAAGGACCAGCCCCAAACGGGCCCAGGCCCGGGCCTGCTTGGGACTGGTCCTTGACCAGCTCCAGTCCACAATTGCCAATGACAAATCAGCAAACTGTCGTGGCATCATAGCAGCCATTCAGTTGACCACGTCGTGTCACTATATGTTACCAAAAAAAAATTATTGTGTTCATCCAATGAATATACCAAACTCCTTTCCTTGGGAAGATACGTCAATATGATTTTAGATTCAATTCGGGAAACATTTTGTTTTCTTTTATTTTGTATATACGTCTAACACAAAAAAATAAAGAAAATTTTTCTAATCGATAATTGAATTGCAAGAGAGAGAGAGAGATCTTTCAATAATAGATCTCTTTTCTCATGTCCCATGCAGTGCCATAAGATACTGACAAACTAGAACAGACAAAGACAGGTTGCAATTATAAATGTTATGGAGATACATCTTCATCAATTAGTTAATAGATGGAGATACGTCTTCATCAATTAGTTAATAGAAGAAGATGCATGATTTAGTATTTGCTTAATTCCACTCAATCTCAAGTATAAATACGTGTAAACACAACACAAACTCAGACGCAGACTAAATACAGCTCTCAATATGGCAGTAATTGGCCTTTTTGAAATCTTCCTCGCAGTCATTTGCTTCTTCCTTATTCCCTACTTCACCAACAACAATGGGATGCCAAAGAACTATCCACTCGTGGGAATGTTGCCAGACCTTTTGATTAACACTCACAGGATTCATGATTGGGCTACGAAAATTCTAGAGAGAAGCCAATGTACTTTTCTGTTCAAAGGTCCTTGGTTAGCTAACATGGACATTTTAGCCACAGTTGATCCAGCCAATATACACTACATAATGAGCTCAAACTTCTCCAACTTCCCCAAAGGACCTGAGTTCAGGGAAATGTTTGATGTTTTGGGAGATGGGATTTTCAATACGGATTCAGATTTGTGGAGAAGCCAAAGAAAAGCTGCTCAAATGTTGATGAATCATCAGAGGTTTCAGAAGTTTTTGGTGAAGACCAGCTTGGAAAAATTGGAGAAAGGGCTGGTCCCAATCCTGGAACATGTGGCCAAGGAAGGGAAAGTTGTGGACTTACAGGATTTGTTTCAGAGGTTTACGTTCGATTCCACTTTCATATTGGTTACAGGCTATGATCCAGCGTGCCTGTCCATTGAATTCCCGGAAGTTCCATTCTCAAAGGCTTTGGAAGATGCCGAGGAAGCGATATTTTATAGGCATGCTATCCCAGAAAGAGTCTGGAAGCTACAAAGATGGCTAGGTGTTGGAGAAGAAAAGAAGATGAAGAAAGCAAAGGAGACATTAGATCGAGTCGTATTTGAATATATACAAAAGAAAAGAGAAGAGTTGAGCAAAGGAATTCAAGCTAAAGAAGAAGCAGATGGTGTAGATTTGTTAACATCTTACATGAATGAAGAGTACAAGACTGTAGCCTTGAAATTTGATGACAAGTTCTTGAGAGATACCATTTTAAGTTTCATGATTGCGGGGCGAGACACGACAAGTTCTGCTCTCACTTGGTTCTTGTGGCTTCTTTCAAAGAACCCACAAGTGGAAACCAAGATCAGAGAAGAGCTTAAAACAATAATCCCAACGGACAAAACGGAAGCAAAATGGTGGAAATTTGACATAAAAGAGCTAAATAAGCTGGCTTATCTTCATGGAGCATTGTGTGAAACATTAAGGCTTTACCCACCAGTTCCTTTTCAGCACAAGGTCCCAATAGTACCAGACATCCTTCCAAGTGGGCACCGCGTCACTCCGAAGAATAAGATCTTGTTTTTCTTGTATGCGATGGGAAGAATGAAGTCAATATGGGGAGAGGACTGCTTGGAATTCAAACCTGAGAGATGGATTTCGGAGAAAGGAGGGATCAAACATGAGCCTTCATACAAGTTCTTAGCTTTTAATGCAGGACCAAGAACTTGTCTGGGAAAAGAAGTTGCTTTCATTCAAATGAAAACGGTGGCAGCCACCATAATTCACAACTACAATGTTCAAATAGTGAAAGGCCAGCATCATAGTCCCAATGTATCGATCATTCTTCACATGATGTCAGGCTTAAAGATGATAGTTCTCAATAAGTGGCCTGAATAGAGTGGTCATATTTATGTTTCTTTGATTGAGGTTTGGTCATATTTATTTTTCTTCTTTTTGTCAGCTCAAAATAAGATGGCTTGAACACATAACAAAGACTTATCTCCTCCTTGTCAACTCATAATAAGATTAAAGTCTAGTGACCTATAGGAATTGCAAAACTGTTGAATGGTGATACCATGCTGGAAATGAAGAAGTTGACAGAAAAATATGAACTGCATGTTTTACTGCTGTTTGGTCTCCCACTGTTCATGCAGAAGCAGTTTTTGGGTCACTGTTATGGATTGGTTCAGTGATTGTAATTTTACTTATGCCTGTACGTGTATTAGTTGGTGTATTGTGTTTAAATTTAAAATTTGTAATTCCATTAGGTGAAACAGTGGCGGGTGTTTTGTATAAGTTTATCCCTGTTTTTTGAATAAAAAACAGAGCATCATTTTCCAGTCTCAGCTCTCTTTCTTTCATCTGTTTCTCTTCTTTGTTTTCATGCAAAACCAACAAAAACATCCCATGGATTCTCCCACATGGTTCCTAAAAAGTCCCCCACTAGCTGCCAGGTCGAGATTGCCTTTGGGTAGTCCGTCGGTGTTGACTTTGATCCAAGGTCTCATAGGAGGATACCAAATAAAGGTATGAATTTTTGGGGCATTACTAAAACGAGGTCGGATTCCCAAATTATCAAAAACATAGTACTTGAAGATGAGTTAACAAAGCCATGGCATAAAAAGGCCAAAATTTGAATTTGTTTGAATGTGGACAATATTAGGCGGGTGTTCTCAAATCTCAACTTATTGCGAGCTTTCCAAATGAACCACAAAACTGTAAAGTACTCTGCGACAACCACTAATTCCAAAGTTTGTGAAAGAAAAGTTTTCCCGTGAATGAAGTTCCAAAAGATCTTCCAATGTGTTACATGTGCTCCAAGAGGAATTGAAAGTCGTCGCTAACCAACATCACATATCTCTTGCAAAAGAACAAGATCCAAATAAGTATGCTGCATTTTCAGAGTAATTGAAAGAATGGCACATAAGACAAAATCATAGACTTTCATCTGTAGGAAGACATTTATGTCGCAACCACCAAGCAAAAAAAAAAAAAATAGAGTTCAGAAGGAATATGGTTGTTCCAAATGGTGTTGGCCTAACTTCCATCTTTAGACTTTGGAGTCCTCCCAAATAAGCCTATCAGAACAATGTCTTAACTCTAGAAGTAAAAAAGGAACCAAATGAAAATCCTATCTGATTGTATCAAAGGCTTTGGTGATGTCCAATTTAATACCAAGGTTAGAGACCCGTACTTTCTTTCCCAAAAGTTGGATATTCTCTGAAACCATACCGATACAAGTGGAGATATCTCTTCCTTATATATATGGGTGGAAAATGTTGTAAATATGTTGTTATATTTGTAAAGGAGAGTAGTATTCCTTAAAAGGAGAAAAGAATAAATTAACTTGTGGATGCTTAGTTTAAATGTTGGAAATTATTGAATGGGTGATATGATCCTTGTGATGTATCAATTAATCGTGTGAAGGTGTCTTGAATTCTCCATTGGAAGACACCTGGAGGCTTCAAGAGGTGATTAAATCTCATGGAGGCAGCTGGCTCGGTTTGGTAGAACAATTGTGGAAGATACCTAGAAGCTAACATGTTGCTGGCAGCTTGAAATGAAGGCAGCTGGTGATTAAAGTTTCTCATGAAGACAGCTGGAGTGGCCGACTGAAATTCTTCTATAAAAACTAAAAAGGCAGCATAATGTCACGCACTTAACTTCTTTGCTAAGTTCGTGCGGCCCTTAACCCTTTATAAATGAGTTAAGCAGCCTAACGCTCACACAAACTCACAGGCTAAAAGTATACAAATGAGAGAGAAGCGTAGAGAAAATATAAACTCTGTATTGATGGAATTCAAGTTATGAACTTTACATGGTGGAGTTGCCTATTTATAGGCTCAAGCTCCTCAAAGTAATGTGTGACTAATCTATATGCTTAAGCATTAAGAAACCCTAGGTGGCAAGCATTGGTGCAGCCTTGGAAACGAAGGTCGTGGGTGGCGAGCATTTGTGCAACCTTGGAAACGAAGGTACTTAGTCGCCTAACCTAGCTGCTGAGTCGTTAACTTAGCTATTAAGTTAACTTAGCCCTTAAGTTTGCTTCACCCTGAAGCATAATTAATCAGTAAGCAACGTGCAGCATGCTTGAGTCGGCAAGCAGGCTGGTCGTGACATTCTCCCGCACCTAATGCTGCGACGCCCTCGTCGCATTATCTTTATAGCGCAGGATTGAGTCTTGGAATTGCCACAATGAGTCTTCGGTCTCCCAACTAGCTTTGGTATCAGGAAGTCCCTTCCATTTGATGAAGTATTCCCGATAATTTGGCACACCACATCGGCGAATGACTCTATCGGCAAGTATTTCTTCAACTTCCTTGTCAAAGGATGTTACAACGGCGGTTGGTGCTCGTTTAGAGACTCCTCGGGATGGCTCCTCCGAGTCTTCATGGAATGGCTTCAACAAGCTTACATGGAAGACCGGATGTATCTTTAGTTTCGGAGGAAATTGAAGTCGATACGAAACTTTGCCGATGCATTGTATCACTTGAAAGGGCCCTTCATATTTGCGCACGAGGCCTTTGTGCACCTTCCTTAATGTCTTGAACTACTGGGGCAGTAGCTTTACGAGAACAAGATCACCTTCTTGGAACTCAACGTGCCTTCTTTTCTTGTTGGCCCACTTTTTCATTCTCTTCGCTGCCTTATGTAGGCTGCACGAGCAAGTTCAGTTTGTTCGTGCCATGACTTGGCTAACCTGAAAGCTGCAGGGCTCTTCGCATCATAGCGTGTGGCTAGGGAAAGAGGTGTGTTCGGTTGTTGTCCCATGATGATCTCGAAAGCACTTTTGTTGGTTGCCTCGCTCCGCTGCAAGTTAAATGAGAATTGGGCTGTGTCAATGAGATTTGCCCAATCCCGCTGGCTAGCGCTTACATAGTGCCGCAAATATAGCTCTAACAGTGCATTGACGCGCTCGGTTTGACCATCAGTTTGGAGATGAAAGCTGGTCGAGAAGTTTAGGTTTGATCCTAGCATCTTGAATAACTTTGTCCAAAATCTCCCGGTGAACCGAGGATCTCGATCACTGATTATGCTTGTTTGGAATGCCCCATAACTTGATGATGTTGTGAAAGAAAAGCTTGGTTGTTTCTTCTGCTGTGCAATCGGTGGATGCGAGGATGAAAGTGGCATACTTGCTAAACTTGTCCATAATAACTATGATGCTCCCGGACCCCTCGGACTTTGGCAAACATGTGATGAAGTCCATTGAGACACTCTCCCATGGTCTCTTGTAATGGTTGTAACAAGCATGCCGGTTGTTGTTGCACTACCTTATCTTGCTGGCAAACAAGACACATACGCACATGTGCTCCAAGAGGTATTGAAAGTCGTCGCTAACCAACATCACATATCTCTTGCAAAAGAACAAGATCCAAATAAGTATGCTGCATTTTCAGAGTAATTGAAAGAATGGCACATAAGACAAAATCATAGACTTTCATCTGTAGGAAGACATTTATGTCGCAACCACCAAGCAAAAAAAAAAAAAATAGAGTTCAGAAGGAATATGGTTGTTCCAAATGGTGTTGGCCTAACTTCCATCTTTAGACTTTGGAGTCCTCCCAAATAAGCCTATCAGAACAATGTCTTAACTCTAGAAGTAAAAAAGGAACCAAATGAAAATCCTATCTGATTGTATCAAAGGCTTTGGTGATGTCCAATTTAATACCAAGGTTAGAGACCATTACTTTCTTTACCAAAAGTTGGATATTCTCTGAAACCATACCGATGCAAGTGGAGATGTCTCTTCCTTATATATATGGGTGGAAAATGTTGTAAATATGTTGTTATATTTGTAAAGAAGGAGAGTGGTATTCCTTAAAAGGAGAAACTAATAAATTAACTTGTGGATGCTTGGTTTAAATGTTGGAAATTATTGAATGGGTGATATGATCCTTGTGATGTATCAATTAATCGTGTGGAGGTGTCTTGAATTCTCCATTGGAATACACCTGGAGGCTTCAAGAGGTGATTAAATCTCATGGAGGCATCTGGCTCGGTTTGGTAGAACAATTGTGGAAGATACCTAGAAGCTAACATGTTGCTGGCAGCTTGAAATGAAGGCAGCTGGTGTGTGAGTTTCTCATGAAGACAGCTGGAGTGGCCGACTGAAATTCTTCTATAAAAACTAAAAAGGCAGCATAAGCTGAGGAAAAAACATATATATTTTTTAAATTGAGATGATGACGGTGTTTGGTTGATTTGTAAAAAATTATTTTCAGAATATTTTATGACAAATAGTGGCATTTAAGGGCTAAATTATCGGGAATCTTAATACCTTGGGGGGGTGGGGGGCGCTGTAATTAAAACTTACCCAAAGTAATATATTTTGTTTTCCATATTGCCCCTAAACAATTGAGTATTTGGTCCAAATTAACCTTATATTTGTTCAGATTTACAAAACACCTAATTTACTCATGCAAACTCTTTTGTCCTCATTTTTTAAATTTTTCGGATGATATTGCCCTTGTTATTGTCATTATTTACAGAAACATCATTGTACCCAAAACTAGCCACCACCGCCAACCACAGTAGATCGTTGCCAAAAGATGTCAAAAGTCGTCATAATGGTGTACGACTAGTCGTATATGGCCAGTCGTGTACCGGTAAGGCCTTTTTCGACCATGGATCACAAATTCATATTCGAAAACGGTCAAAGACCTAGCCATTTCACGGCCACATCTTTCGCTATGAAATGACCATGGCTAGATCTATGGCACTACTAGCATCACGGCTAGATCTGTGGCACTGTTGGCGTCCGCCGACGGTGGTGGCTGGCTGCCAACAGTGGCTTGAGGTGGGTAGGGGTGTTTTTGTTAAGTTCAAAACATTTTTGGTTGCTATGGTGTTTTTGCTAAATTTGAAAAGTAGAGGGTTTAAAAAAATTATTCAAAAAATAATATTATATTAATATTTATAAAGGTAAACAATTTAGAAATCTATATAACATACTCACTCATTTATCCTCTCAAACAAATATATTATTCATCAATTTATTTGAACCAATTAAACATATTTTTTAAATATTCCTACTAACTTTCAAGATGATTTTTTATTTCGTGAATATAATATCTTTTTATAATAAAATATTATATGATCTAAACTTCACTAAAATCTCATATTTGTATTTGTAAAAGAGAGTGTGCTGAAGGGAGGAATTTATATTGTCCAAATTATATAGTGGATCTTTTGTTTCTGCCCGTGATTTTTTTCGCATAAGGGTTTCACATAAATCCTATGTCAGCTATTATATATCTGCAGCATTAATTTTCAGCATTATTCACTACAAATCGATTATATATATGTGTGTTAAATTAAAGGGTGTTTAATTTTATATATTTTTTCTTACCATTTGACATAATATTTGTAATTAGTTAATTTATATTTGATCATATACCAATTACAAATTATTATATAAAATTAAATTAAATTAAATTATAAGTGAACTGTTACCTTTTTGCAATGCATGAAACACGTTTTGGATAATTTTCAAGAATCTGTTTTTACAATCAGCGTGTCAGAAGACGTCTTGTCAAAGTCTTATAAATTACAGAGGGTGTACGTTTCTGAGTTCTGACTGCTTTGGTGTGTATGGGGACGTCTTGTCAAAGTTTCTTGTTGCAAGAAACGTACACCCTTATAGCTCACTCCATCTGGAAGGCAGTGTCGCCTTCCTCCTTCTAAATCTTCAGACTTTTAATTTTACTTTCATGGATACTCACGTGGCGGGTCTCCACTGTCAGATCAACTATCTACATTAAAGTTAATATCGATTGATTGATGTTCAGTTTTTCTTCTCTCTTAATACTTTCGCTCAGACTCTCATTAGGGGTATAAACGAGCCGAGTCGAGTCGAGTCAAATTTTTAGCTTATCGAGCTCGACTCGTTTATAACAGTATCGAGCTCGACTCATTTACAATAGTGTCGAGCTCGAGTTCGAGTTCGAGCCTGATGAGCCTTAAAATTGAGATTCGAGCTCGAGCTTGAGCTCAGTCGAGCTCGAGTCGAGCTGGAGCCGGCTCAATATCGAGCTCGCGAGCCTTGTCGAGCTCGAGCTCGATAAGGCTCGATCAAACCACCATTTATCCGGGCTTGATCGAGCCAAGTTCCCCTTTTTTTACAGTAATCTGCCTGCGTACAGCATTTCATATTTACATCCAATGTTGAATTAACCATGATAGTTTTGAACATTACAAAATGTCTATTACCTTACAAAATCAAAAAACAGTTCTGAATATATACAAATAACATTCCTAGGAGATTACCGATTTCAGAGTGTCTGGTTCGCGATTTGGGATTTAGGGGTCTTTGATTGCGATTTGGGACAACTGGGATGGGGAACTGAAATTGAGTAATTGACGCTCTGTTTTGGTGTATCGTGTTATTTCAAATTTGCACTTTGGGGGGGAGGGGGGGGAACTGTCATTTTTTTAAACTTTTTTCACTGAAAAATATCAGTTTAATACCTAATAGTTTAAAAAATCACCAAAACACCCTATTAAGTGTACAGTGCTTAATCGAGCCGAGCCGAGCCAAGCTCACGAGCCCACGAGCCGAGCTTTACTGTGTTCGAACTCGACTCGGTTAACGAACCGAGTTCGAGTCGAGTCGAGCTCTAAACGAGCTTTTATCGAGCCGAGCCGAGCCGGCTCGCGAGCTGGCTCGGCTCGTTTATAGTCCTACTCTCATTACTTTTACTATCAAACCACTAAAAATACTTTTACTCTCATTTTTTAAAATATAGTTTAAAGATACAAAGGTGGACTCGGAATCTACGATCTTTACAAAAATCTAACAAATCTCGGATACACTATGCAAAGAGAGATTACATCAGCCCATAAAACCACTCAAAACAGAAAACTCCCATCCAGTTATAATAAATGAAAAAGGAGGGATTATGCCTCAAATCAAAAGAGTAAGAACTGCACATTTCAAAACAGTCTTTGCCAATTACAATACTCTCCATAAGTAAACAAGGGCAACTCTCGGAGTTACGAGTTACCCACTGAATTTTTACTTCAATGCATAATTTAGCCAACAAAAAAGCCGCCACTGGGCGGTAACGCTGCTGTCTCCTAATGACATTTATAAAAGCATCAGTTCTAATAATTTATTTAAAGTAATACTACAATTGTATATTAAATAATAGTAAATAATTTTATATTAATTCATCCAATTATATTTTAAAATCTTTGTAAATATAGTATTATGTTTTTTGACATACATTGAAAATAATTTTACTACCCTCAAATTGAATATTAGCAAAAGGTCTGGTGAGAATTATATACGCATGCTTCCATTCTTAGTAAATATAGAAATTAATTAAATTCATGCATTGATGATCTTGCATTATTTTCTTCCTCAGGCTTTTAATTTTATTTCTATCAGAATTAGCAAAAGTTGGAAATTTCAAATATCAAATATCAAATTATTATTACATAAAGATAAACTATTTTCTAAAAGATATTTTGAGGACACAAGTAAGAACTTATAACACAATACAGAAGAACTGATTTCAACTTCATATGTTATCTCGGTCTCTTTAGGATTTTGTTTCAAATGGTGTTGGCCCAACTTCCATTCTTTAGAGTCTTCCCAAATGAGTAAAAAAATGACTTAACTCTAGAAGTAAAAAAAATGAACCAAATCCAAAAGCTCATTGTACCAAAGGCTTTGGTGATGTCCAATTTAATACCAAGGTTAGAGCCCCTTACTTTCTTTCCCAAAACTTGGATATTCTCTGAAACCATGCCGATAATATAAGGAGAGTAATATTCTCAGCTACCCCGACACGGTATTCGGCCAGCTGCGTGCCAGAATCTAAAATATTGCCATTTATCGACAAAGATAGAACACAACATTGAGAGGTGGAAAAAAATTACCATTTAATTGATTAGATCAAAGTGTTACTTAAACCAATCCAATGTTTGTTTACTTCAATTGAATAATTGATTACCATTTAATTGACTTCAAATAAACTCTTTTGATCAATTAGATAATCCCAGCCAAACAAGCTCTACCAGCTATGATGTCTCAAGTAGTCTCCCTTTTCTTAGAATATTTCAATTCCATGGCCTTTTTTATCTCATCAGTCATCATCATCACCAGTTGACACATTTATTAAGCAAGAAATGAACTTATAGACTTGGAATTCCATTATCATGTACAGATTCATAACTGGGATCTAGGATCAATCCACAAGTTAAATAGAGAGAGAGGAAAGTAAAGAAAAACCATAACAATGTTTAAATATTTTGATATCGCAAGTGTTATCTAAAAATACAACAATAATAACTCAAGGAGGCCTCAAATGTCTCGTCTTGCATTATCGATACTGATAGAGATAGAAGAACGCTACTCAAATTTCTTGATTAGTGATAGGTCATTCAGCATTTTCTCGATTGCCTCGTCATCATGAGCCCGCCCCTTGGTCTGGAAACATAAGTGATATTTAGGTAGTGTAATGCATGCATTTTTAAACCTTATAAAAAAACTCCATAAGATGAGTTTTTTGATACTTTGGACCGTCTTATAGGGCATAGTGTAGAGAGGGAGAAACAAAGCAAGATCATAGAATTTCTTTCCCAACATTTATATGGTAGCATGTGAGCACAGTACAATACATATACAGTCTATTTCATTTAAGAAGGAAAATGATTGGAGGAAATGCAGACATATTAGGATAATGAAAGAGATGAGCAGTGTGTGATTAAAGCATACCTTAATGGAAGGTACCATAGCAATAGCTTCCTCTACAGTTTCAGGGCAAAGGTTGCCAAGCACACACAGCTGCAAAAAGAAGTGCATATCACGAATTTAGAGGTTTATAATGTGAGACGAAAATCATATGCTAGTTTACAAATATAAGGGCGCTTTACCTCGAATTCAGCCAACTGATATCTACTCAGGATTCTGAAAACCAGTTAAGATCAACTTTTTTTATTGGAAGATGCAAAATGATTCAAGGGGACAAATAAACAAAACCTGTCATTACTTAATTAACAGAAAACCCCTCTTTTCTCCATAAAAAAATTGCCATGCTACTTTTGTCAGCATACTAAAACACTAGATGAGATCCTACAAGTATTATTAATCAAACAGTTTATAATTCATAAAACTAGATGAGCTCTTCCAAATTTAATATCCATGGTGACTTTGAAGCTAAAAGAATTAAAAAAGAAAAGGGTAGATAACAAGGAGGTAACTATCTCAGCCATTTACAACCAATTCCAATAATTAACTCCAGAATTACTTTTGCAAGTTAATGAAGTCATATTAGTGATATAAAAAATCAAAAGGAGGGAAGAAACCATCTGTAAGCAAGGCATCTGGTCTATCGAAGTTAGAAGACATATATATGAGAGGTCTGAAAAGAATTGTAAGAGATCTGGTTTCATAAACATCACAAATTTGAGTAACTATTGAACATCTCACATGTTAGCAATTTCAGCAAAAAATTTCCATATCACAGACAAGGGTTTAAAGTATGGATATCATCTCATAAGCATCTCATGTATGGGAAAGAACAAAGCAAATACCAAGTTCAAATTAAAATAAAAAGCTTCATAAATCAAGTCTGTGCTTAAATATTCTCCAAGAACAATGGCTATTTGAGAAGAAAATGAATCATTCAGTGCATCTTCATCATTGTTAGCATTAATTGTGAGTCGGTGCGTGTGTGTTTGCAAGCATGTCAGCATGAGTATGCATGAGAGCAAATAGTAAATGAAACCTATTATACATAAACTTGAAGGATACTCTCTAACTTGTCTAACAGCATCAGGATTCTTATACCGACTGAAGCGCTTCACATACTGCAATGATTTCTCAAAAACCCTGAAGAGTGATAAGAAACAGTATGTTATGAAAAAAAAAAAAATGAAACTAAAAACACTAACTACCACGTTTGAAGACGAAAGACATAAGTCACAAAACCTTTCATGATTCCCCAGCAGCATTATCTACTGAAAACCAGGGAATCGTCCATGTGTGGAACTCAAAAAGAACCAATGGCAACCCCAGCCACCCCCAGCCCCCATCTTCCCTATTCATTCATCTATTTATTCTTAACAACCTAGAAATTTCTGAAACCGCCAAGATAACTCGAGTATCAACACTACCCTCCATCGAAGCCTAATCAAACTTTCTTTTTGTATGAAATTCATAAGATAAGTTTAGGTTAAGTAGCCTGCAATTCGAATGACATTTTATCTTTATAAAACAAAAGAAACCCATCAATCCTTCAATCATTAGCATAATTTTTCTTCTATTAACATACCCTTTTGCCCATCCTACCAAAAAATCTTAATTTGACACCAAATTTCAAGAAAAAATTGAAGCTTTAAATATACCCAATAGCAGAATTATTCCACACACAAAAAAATAAATAAATAAATAAATAAACGATGAGATACTTACTGGGAAACTTGATTCATGGGATCATCAGACGTCTGCTGAAGCTGCTCAAACTTGTGCTCAAGAATCAACGAAACTTCACAATTCATCAAACACTTGGCCTTCAAAAATTCTGATAAAAAATTAAAAATCAAAACACCATCGATACAATTTTTTCAAAATTTCTAACAGAGATGTAGAGGTAAAATTATTTACCCTCTCCGATTTTAAGCTCGGCCGCATTCTCTTCTTCTTCTCCGGACATCTTTAGAATCTGGGTCTGTCTAGTTAGGGCTTTTTTACAGGTTTCAGAGACAGTGATGCAAATTTATTTGATTTTCTGCTCCGTTTTCCGTTGCTATGTGGATTGATAATGTGTTACCTCCCTAAAGTTTGCACTAATTACAATACCCCTTAAAGTTTTTTTAATTTTCTAGGGATAATGATAGTTTGATTTTAAATTTTAGGAAAATGCTACACCCACAACTTCTTCTCACAAACTTCCTCTCAAAACCCCAGCATGGCAGTTTATAATTGTTTAACTCATAATGGGTTCAACCTGATAAATTACGACTAACTAATTACGAGTTGTCACGTCAAGATTGTGGGATAGTTTGTTAAAAAAGATTGAAATTTTAATCATATGGTCTGAGGGTTACACCGATTATTCAAGGAATTTTTTATTTTTCAATGGGACGGGTGCATTATATGTGTACTTCACTTAATGTTAGCTGACTTTATACATGGACACCCCGAGGTTTAGTGTAAGAAAAATAAGATATGGAGGTTTCGAATGAAACTCTTACACTCTTATAATCAAAAGACATTCTGTAAAAAGCTAAATGAAATACAGAAATTTAGTACGTCGACCAATATACACTTATTTTGTCTTTCTCTTACAATAAAAAGAAACTAATGTCTTACATTTGTCACATGATCAAAATATTTAATAGTTATTTTTCACAACAATAATACTATATTTACAAATAAATCTTACAAAAATTTACATATAAAATGAGGTGGTAAAAAATAAATGAAAAAGTAAAACAAAAAATCAAACTCATTAAATTCACTCTTCCATTCATTTTTTGCCACATCACTTTATACGGAGATCTTTGTAAAATTTCTTTGTAATTATAACATTACCCTTTTCACAAACATCATTCAATTATTAAGGAAAAATTTTCATTCTGAAACTGTTAGGGTGCAAGTGTTCTATTTTGAAATCTGTGGGACTCCTTTATATTCACTAAAATTTTCTCCATTTGAGAACTACTTGACATTATACCTCTTATAGTTATAAGATTGCAGGTAATTTTTAATCAAACAAATAAAGTTAATTTTAGAATTTTATTAAATTATTTATTAGTATAGGAAAGAGGGCTTTGGCCATTATGAACCAAACCCATTAAAGAGAAACAATTACATTGAAACTGAAAGCCACAAGGAGTAGCAGTAGACACAAATCTCACAACTCTAGTGAATTTCCAATCTGTTAATTATTCTTATCTTTAAACCAGATTTCATTTGAAGTACAACTCAAACATTTGGACCAAGACTCTGTCCTTCAACTACTTGAACATCGTAGTTATGAAGTATAGTGGCTGCTACAGCATTCATTTTGAGTGAAAGCAACCTCTTTGCCAAGACAAGTTCTTGGTCCTGCATTGAAAACAAAGAACTTGTATGAAGGCTCATGTTTGATCCCTTCTTTCTCCGAAATCCATCTCTCGGACTTGAACTCCAAGCAGCACTCTCCCCGTATCGACTTCATTCTTCCCATTGCATACTTGGAACTATGCCCACTTGGAAGGATATCTGCTTCTATTGGGACCTTGTGCTCGAAAGGAACTGGTGGGAAGAGCCTTAATGCTTCACATAATGCCCCATGAAGATAAACAAGCTTATTTAGCTCATTGATGTCAAATTTCCACCATTTTGCTGCCACTTTTTCCGCTGAGATTTTCATGTTTAGCTCTTCTCTGATTCTGGTTTCCACTGATGGATTCTTTGAAACAAGCCAAAAGAACCAAGTGAGAGCAGAGCTTATGGTATCTCCCTCCGCAAGCATGAAACTTAAAATGGTATCTCTCAAGAACTTTTCATCAGATTTAAATCCTAAACCCTTGTAATCTTCCTTTATATATGATGTTAAAAGATCCTCACCCACTTGAATTTCTTTTGCTCAACTCTTCTCTTTTCTTTTGTATATATTCAAAGATTCGATCTAATGTCTCCTTAGCTTTCTTCACCTTCTTTTCTTCTCCAATGTATAGTCATCTTTGTAGCTTCCACTCTTTCTGGTACAAGTACAACATGCCTGTAAAAAAAAGATTCCTCAGCATCTTCCGAGGCTTTTGAGAATGGATTTTCCGGGAATTCAATGGACAGGCACCCTGGATCATAGCCTGTAACAATATAAAAGTAGCCTCAAACGCAAACCTCTGAAACAAATCCTGCGAGTCGGCAGCTTTCCCTTCCTTTGCCACATTTTCCAGGATTCGGATAAGCCCTTTCTCCTCTTCTTCCAAGGTGGTCTTCACCTTTGAAATTTCTGATGATTCATCAGAACTTGAGCAGCTTTCCTTTGGCTTTTCCACAAATCTGAGTCTGAATTGAAAATCCTATCTCCCAACATATCAAATATTTGCTTGAATTCATCTCTTTTTAGGAAGTTGGAGAAGTTTGAGCTCATTATGTAGTGTATGTTGGCAGGATCAGCTGTGACTAACATGTCCATGTTGGCAAACCAAGGCCCTTTTCAAGATAAAAGTGCACTGGCTTTTCTGCATTACTTCAGGGACAAAATCGTGAATCCTCCGAACGTTGAGCAAAAGCTCCGGCAACATTCCGACTATTGGAAAGTTCATAGGCAGCCCATTGTTGCTGGTTGAGCAACGAATAATGAAGAAGCAAATGAAATGACTTACAAGAAAAATTCGAAAAAACCAATCAATGCCATGTTGTATTGCTCGTTGAGAATTGTATGTATTTTGAGTTCGTGTATGCTTGAGGAGATTGAGTGCAATTTAGCAGTATTAATCAAGAATTTAATTCTAATTAATTAAGTGGAGAAGATATATATTCATAAGGACAACTTTCATAATTGAGATCCGCTCTGCGGACAAGATCTAACATAATTGAAGGTTGTTAAGATAAGATTATCGGTTGTTTGATTCAGTGTGTAGTCGTCGTTACTCGTTTCACCTTAAAACTTAAAGTTTTAGGTAAAATTTTAACTCGATATGATAGTAGAGATAAATGTTACAAGTTCAAATCATCACATTTTAACGATAAAGATTGGCTCACAACCCAATCATACAAGCTTTCTCTCACAACCCCGATGTGACAGCTCGCAATTGATCAACTCATAATTAGGTAGGCAAAACCTATTGCGAACTGACCAATTGCGAACTAGCACGTTAGGATTACGAGAGAAAGTTTGCAAAATTAGATTGTAAATATAGTTTTACCCACATTTTAATTGGATATAAAATAAAATCCAAGTACATGTGAAGGAGGCTTTGGATACCAGAGAAATAAAATTCACGAAACAAAAACATGATTCAAGTTTCACTTGAGAACCCACTGAAATAAATATTTACATCTACTAGTTTAAGTTTTATTTGTGTTGCTATAAGATGGTAGCATCATGTTCAGAATAAAAATGTACAACATATATTAAAGCCTGTGGGACTATATGCTAAAAATAGATCTATTTTATATTCAACAATTTGGTGGTGATCACTCGATGACCAAAATGAGATTAATGATTCATTGGGTTTGGATACTGTAAATTTTTTCAATTAAATTTAGACATTGCATGTGAATCGTTCATCTTTGCTAATCCAACGGTGATAAGATAATTTTTTTTAAAGAAAGTTACATTTAATACAAACTCAACATCTCTTATTATCACCGTTGGATCATCAATAATTAACGGTCCACAAAGAGTTAAAAAATTAAACAAAAATTTAAGTAACAATATCCCAACCCTTTGTTTATTGATGTATATATATATAGCTCAACCTTTATGGGGATTATTTCTAAACCTTTTGGGGTCTAAGTGTCAGTTTCTGATGTTTCGGGGGTGCAATGGTATTAAGCCCTCAAATTTAAACTCGGAAGAAAACCCACATTTTGTTGCGGGCTATGCCTGCAACTAGCAGCTCAAAACACTAACAAAATTCATATATAGGAGAAACTTTGGATCGCCGTTCACAGACTAATGTGTGCTATATACCAATTTTCTAGATACAGAAACCCTTTATAAATAAAACCAAAATCGATGACCGAGTAGCACTTAATACCTCTGATTTCTTCGGTTCTATCAAGTAAGACAAAAATCATGAGAAATAGTTAAGCTGAGCAGATTGATTCAAGCATTTCTCAAACTGTACTACAACAGCCTCCTCTGTCACAATCCAGCCCCCATTGTTGGACTTTTCTCGATCGACTGAGTTCAAACAGCTCTGCAGGTAAACATTAAAAGTTAGGCAATTCCATGCAGAAGTACCTGACTTGAAGTTTCAATGAGAAATTATACAAAAGCCATTTTAAGTGGTAACCAGAAACCAAGGGTCAAGTACACAGTCCAGGATAGCAGCTTAAACAATTGAGCCCAAACACTTGGAAAAGATATCCAGATTCAATGCGGGATATGTTGAAGATTCACCTTAGAACAAGTGTACACAATGAGTGTCATCCAATTCCAGTTCTCCAAAGAATAGTTTTGACAATCATCAGTAGCTTCTTGTAGAAAATATATTAATGGGGACATCAGCTGCATTTCAAAGTGCCTTGAACCTCCACAGAGCTTGCACTTTCCAGGGTCTCCCTCTTCTGCTGTAGCCAGAAGGGGCTTCCCACCATATGAATATCTGAGCACACAAAGACATCGAAAATCACAAAAATAAACAAAAACAAAATCAGGAATTGAGAGAATATGTCAGGCTATCAGAAAATGGTCAGCTGTAGACAATACAACACAAAAAAAACAATACAACATGAGAAAAAGAGAAAACGTTGTTCCATAAGAACATTAAAAGTAAATAGATTATCATACAAAGATCTATAGATATTGCTTTGTATAACATCAAATTTGATTACCAAATTGAGGAATTTTTAAAACTAAAATTATTTTAATATCTATTTATGTCCACCTGGCGTAATAGACTGAATTTACCAAAAGGAAATCACAGATAACGAGATCATCAACAAGTAATAACTCTGAACTTCAAATTTTTTAATAGACACCCAAAAGATATTTTATTGAAGAAAAAAAAAATAGTTTATCATCTGATAGATACCTAGACTCTCGCCTTCAGTCACCACTACTCAGAACCCAGCAACACACAAACTCCAGAATTCCACAACCAACACAGATAACAATTTCAGATAAGCAACCCAGAACAGTCAAGCAAACACTATTCAAAATTAATATATGTCTATTGATTGAATTCCAGCCAATAAACTAGTTAATTCTACCAATGAAAATCAACATCAACAAGAACAGAACAGTAAAATAAGAACAAAAATATGATAACCCAGCTGGACTTCGAGGGCCAGCACCTCCACAACAAGTTTTCCTTTTTACTTTCCAGATTATCCCCCAAAATCTCACTGTCTCTCCTTTTATTCTATTTTTCATAACAAACTTTTTCAATCATCTACTCCCTTAATGCCATCTGTCCCTTCCCTAAACCATCCTTAACACCTCACACACAAGAATCTTCCTGCCAACTGACCAAAATCCCCTAATTCACACCCTTATGTTTCCTACAATAGACCAGCATATTAGGGGCCTCATCATCATCCCTTTTAATCATCCTTGCATCAAAATTAGTGACTATGCAGAAACAATCCATTTCAGATTTTTTTCTAGATTATGAGCATCCAGCTTGTTATTCACCAAGTGTCTCTGTAAATAAGCTACATTAATAGAGATTCAATCAATAGGCATCTTAGAAACTGACACCATGCACAATATAATTTCAAGGGTCCATACTTAATCAATAGACCAAATTATAAGCTAACAGTAAAACTGTATGCTTGCCCAAGGTCCTGATTCCAAATAGCTAATACCTGAAACATTGTTCTGGGTATGCATCCAACTGTTTCTTGAACTTTAGGTAAGTCCTATCTACAGTCAAAGCTTTATCATACTCATAGCGTTCCTCTTCCCACCTTTCTTCTTGTACCTGATCACCGACATCAGTTTGTTTCTCCTTAAGGGAAAGTGAAGAATAGTTTGAACATATAGAAGCAACATCCTTTGATAACGACACTTCATGATTATAAATGTAAAAGCAGGGCACAACTGCACAAAGAAATAAAGTGACCTAAGAAAACTTAAATAGCAATTATATGCAATAATTAGAAGCCGAAATCCAACTAATTTAAAATCTTATGTTGTAATTCATATCAAATCAGAAAGAACAAGAATTTACTAGCATCAAGCATCAAATGACCTTTTGTCCACCCTATAGTATGTTGACACATGATGATGCACTGATGCAGAAAGCCAATTAAGTTGACAATGGCTACTACAACAGAACAGAAAGAAAAAGGACAACTATATCTTCAGATATGTGTTCCATAAAACAATTATACCCGGTGTATCAACATCTACAACTCTTTTCTGCTGGCTCAAAGGTGAAGGCTTCACACTAGACTTAGAATTCTGGTTACTCTTTGTTTTCCTGGAATGAGAAGCCAAGCTTGATGCTTCAGAAAGTGCTTTACCCAAAGCCTCCAAATCTAAATCATCATCTTCATCGTCATCAAAACTATCCCACCAGCTCTTTTTCGAACCTGAAACAGAATTCGAAGGAACCATTTCTTCAGCGGCACTACACGATTCCTTCACATCATCTAATTTCTGAACACGAAGAGCTCTCCAACTGCATGTATCACCACCAATAACACCAAAAGATCAACAAAACTACAGTTCAAACACTTATATCTCACTGCTTAAAAAAATTGAAAGAGAATCTTGATAAAGACCTAAGGGGACTGCTCCCACAATTTAACATTACACATCCAAAAACATATACAACACGTTCTTCAATCCTTAAACTCTCACTCGACACCGGAGCATAAACCTGGAGTCAAAAAACACAAAAACAAAAAATTTACATCACATTCCCAAAGAAAATGGATCTTACCACATCACTTGGGACGCAAAATCTGTAACATTCAACACCAATTTGCAACAAAAAATTGATGCTAACAATACAATTTTGTTAAAATCCACGTCGAATGTCCGGTAAAGTTACAGGAATTTGCACAGTCCCAGCACCATAACAACTCTCAAAAAAACAAAAATTGAATTTAAACCTGAGCAATAAGATAGAGTTTACTTCCACAAGCACCACACTGAAGCAAATTAGGGTTTAAACTCTCCGTATAAAAAGGCCAGTCCTGTTAACATTTAAAAAAAATTACAATTCAGAAAATTAAATAATAATTGAGGACATAAAAATGAATCGGAAGTTACTACTTACAGGAAGTCCGCCAATTTTTGAGGTGTAGTGATCGGACGGCTCACGATTATCGTCAGCCCAAGGTCCCGGCAAGCCGAGAATAACTTTACTCATTTGGTTATTAAATTTGTTTTAAATAAATTAGTAGTTTGAAAAATTACTGAATTTAACAAATAGTGTTTTGTTTTTGTTTTTTTCTTTTTCGGTGTTTTCAGAATTAAGAGGTTCCGCCGGAGAAGGCGAGTAGGCAACGGCTAGTTTTGGAAGGTTTTTGTTGAGTTGAGAGAAGAAAGTCGAGCTACTAGAAGAACAGGAGAGTGCGGGTCAGGACTTGAGAGAGGATAGATAAAACGGTGCCGTTTAATCAGTCTAAAAGAAAGTTTATACAACAAAAATATGTCAATTTTTCGTTTAATTGACATATAAAAGTGCTATAGTAAAATAATAAAATTTCACTATAATTAATTTTAAGTATTAATAAAATTAAAGATGTGAAGGTGATTTAATAATATTTATTAATTAATAAAAGTGAATTTTAAACTTTCACTAACAATTTATTAACGATAGAAAAATTTAGTTATTTCAGAAGTTTTAATGAGATTTTCGTAATTATATCATACCTTAAGGATTATTTTCATTAACTCAGGCATATAATTATAATATATCTCTTGTTGTTTATTTAGCTATGGGAAATTTTTAGAATTATATTTAATTTAATTTTACCTATTAACTATCTTTTATAAGAAATTTACCATTGTTTTATGCTTCTCAATCCTATTTCCAAAATACTTGTTTATTTTATTATTTGAGAAATACTATTCTATTTTTTTAATTACTTTTAAACCGCTTAAGTTTATTAATTTAATTAAACACCCCCTAAAAAAAAAAGTTTAAAAATTAACAAAAACACCACCACCCACCAATCTGACCTTTTGCAATCAGATCTACACTGGATCTCGTCGAAAAAGGCCAGATCTGGCCATCGTTGACCGATGATGACGACCATATCTTTGGCCATTGCTGACAGTCAAATTTGGTCTTTTGCGGCCATCGAAGGCCAAATCTGACTGTAGATCTAACCTTTTTCGACCAGATCAGTAGTAGATCTAGTCGGAAAAGGCCATATCGATACACGACTGGTCAGATCCGATTGGTCTGCATTATAACGCCATTTTCTGGACTGAAATCTGACACTATAAGTGGATGAAGGTGTTTTTATTATTTTATAAATTTTTTATATATTGGGGTGTTTGGATAGGATTTTATTCCTTGATGCCTTCCAAGGGAAGGGAGGCCTCCTATTATAGCGAAGGAGGGACGCTTACAAAGAGACAAATGTAAAACTGGGACACAAAATAAGAAACATAAGAGCAATAGATGTAAGTATACAAGCTTGCCAACAATACAGTTAATACATGTGATAAAATATTTTACAAATTTTAATACAATCCGGGAGTTTCTGGAAATCTGCTGAGGTGTCTATTAGTCGTCATCTGATGAGGTGTCTGTCTTGTCTGGATCTTCTTCAGAATCGATCGGGTAATGGGTATACCCGAGAGTCTTCCACCAAATTGGATCCAGAGGATTTGAGTTCTGAGCATCTTGATACTGTATGTATGTTGGATTGTTAAGAACCATATCAAGATCTTGATCACCGGTTTTTATTCCAGGGATAGAAACTGATGTAGTATTGATCTTGACCCCGATATGGGCCATCAATCTCCTAACCCAGGCAACCTAGGAGATTATAATCAGCCCCAACAGTATGTTCCTCCCTCTTCTAGACCTTGGTTCAATTTAGATCCCCACCATCCCTCAAAATGGAGGGACAAAATTCATGAGATATACACTTGGGGCCAGACAGAACTCATCAAACCAAATGCTACTCTTCTCAAGGTTTTGGAAGCCATTGTAGCAAGGTTTATGGGTATTCTTCGACAATGGTGGAATAATCTTGGAGAATACAGACAAATTCAAGTTGTTCGAGTTGATTCTCTTGAACAATTTGCTGGGTTTCTAGTCCAAGAATTTGTGGGAGATAGTCGCAATAGAATTGATCAATTACGAGAAGAGTTCTTTAAGCTCAAATGTTGTTCTTTTGAGCTAAGGGATTTACAAACGCATTTCCGCTGAGCATTTCTTCGGTTCTATGATATTGGTGGACTTGATGATCCCAACATCAAGCAGGCTTATTTGAGTTCGATCCCTGAGCCACTTTCACAGGAAACTCAAAGATTGCTTGAGCAAAATAATCTCACTTTGACCACCGTGACATTTGGCCATCTAGGTCAACTTATTGAAAAGGGTCTTCACAGGCTTTGTAACAAATAGGCCTTTATCAAGCAATTCCAACATATTGGGCAGAATATTGAAAAATCTTGTTACAGGCCGGACCTCCTTCTCAAATGTTCTCATAAAGATCCTTCTTGCCACTGCCCCATCAAGAAGAAACAACATTTTCGACGTTTCAAACCTTCAAACCAAGACAAACAACTTTTTTAGAAAAAATCAAAGCCCCGGTTCAGAAATAAACGTCGCCACTATTTCCAGAAAAAAAAAAAAATCTAGCTCCCCCAAAGGCCAGCGTTGTTTTTTGTAAGCAGCCTAGGCATTTTGCCAAAAACTGCCCAAAGAAACATAAATCGGCCCGCCAGCTTATTAATCTTGATCCCGCTCTTGCAGATCATGATCTCGAGTCCTTGTACTCCAAGACAGAAGAACAAACCCCTGCCGCTGTCTTTGCTGTTGATCTTATGACCACCCCTCCTTTGGAGATCTCTTCATCATCTGACGACTCCTCTAGTGATTTTTCCCTTTAATATGGTTTCTCCCCATGAATCTGGCAGTCCAAGTCCCCATGGTCGAATTTACTTTGTTTCTTCAAACAAAGTATGATCGCCCCATTAAGGTCATGGCACTAGTTGATACAGGAGCAGCTTCCACCATTTTGAATCCTGATGTTCTTCCTACTTCATACTGGAAGCCCCATATTCGTTGGTTTACCGCAGCAAATGGTGAACCTTTTTCTATGAATCTTATCAGTAAACCAATCCACATCCAATTTTTCCCTCACCTTGTCCTTACCCGTGAATGTCTTGGCTCCTACCATCCTAGCAAAGATATGGTCATTGGTTGGGATCTTCTCAATCAACTCCTCAAGGCAAAATTCACTTTTACCCCTCAGGGCTTAAAACACAAATCTTACTTCATGCCATACAAACACCCTCACAACTATTTCACCACTCTACCTAGCCCTTTACCAAACACAGATGTTACCCAACAACTTGTCACAGAATGCTCAGCACAGTCTCACACAGACTTCCTCACCAAATGCTCGCATCCTCTATGGTTAAATCCAGACTTCTTTGTTAGCCTCCCTTTTAAGAAAAATGAGGACATCAATCCCACAAAGGCCACACATCCAGGCATGCCACCCGACCATCTAGCTTTGGCCTGGGAAGAATTGGCCCAGCTTAAAAAAGAAGGACTAATTGAACCAACCCAGTCCCCGTGGGCCTGTCAAGCCTTTTATGTTAATAAAAAAGCTGAGCAGATTAGAGGAAAACTCAGATTAGTCATTAATTACAAACCATTAAATTGGTTCCTTGCAGACATCAAGTTTCCTCTTCCACGAAAAGACTTTCTTTTCGTATATCTCTTCGATGCCAGGGTTTTTTCCAAATTCAACCTTAAGGCAGGCTTTTGGCAGCTTGGCCTTAATTCTGCTGATAGAGAAAAAACCGCCTTTTGTATTCCCTCTCACCACTATCAGTGGACAATCTTGCCCTTTGGATTGAAAACTACTCCTTCCACTTTTCAAAAAGCCATGATCCAGATTTTTCAACCAATTTTGAAGTAGGCCTTGGTTTACATTAATGACTGTTGATGGATTGATTCTAACACAAACGAATCGACACGTGCGTAACGTTGATTGGTCAAGAGACACACGTGATTATAGAAAGAAAATGTGAAATAAATGCAATGAGAGCTTTTTAAAGTAGTTCGGATGCTAAGGTAGCAAGTCCTACGTCCACTGATTTGTATTGATATTGTGGGTCAGGTCGCCACAGCGGACTGACTTACAAATGATTAGAAAAAGTAAGTATAAAGTTTTCAAGAGAGAGAGAGAGAGAGAGAGAGAGAGAATTCAAGTGTAAAAATGGTCGAATCCCCTTAATGAAGGGTTCTTCTTCTTTTTATAACAAGATGAAGGCGTGTAATTATCATTAAATCCATGGGTTGGTGTGAGTGTCATGACATAATCCGGCTTTACGTCCCATTGCCCACTTCCCAAGCTGATTTCACGCTATTTATTGCAGAAAATGGACACGTGGGAGCTCCATAGCGTTTGGCAGGCCTGACGTGCGCTTACCGTTCTGACGGGAACAGGTCACACTTCACCACGTGACTTCCCACGTCAGCCCTTGATTTTCCAGGCAAAACAGAAGTCCTCTAGTTTTTAAGGTTTGAGGATCTAACCTTGGAAACTAAGTCATGCCGCGATTGAAGGTTCTGGTAATTTCGACCTGAATGGAAGAAGCTCGGGACAGGGCCTTTTGCGAATACGACCTCGCACACTCTGCCCAAACGACCTATTAATCATCATCCCAGCGACCTGGACTCATCGGACGTTTCTTACCGTGCCTTAGGGTTGGAGATTCAATGAGCCTGTTTCTGCGCTGACAGGCGCTCTGCACGCGTTAAAGCGTCTGGCAGGCGCATTAAATGCGTTTGTGCCAACCCGGCATTGTTTTGACAGCATTAATTGCATGACACATTCGAAACGGCAACCCTCATCACAACATTGAATGCGACGTGAGGCGCATTTAATGCGGAGAGAGAGAAGGATGTCGTTTCGATTCCGAGGGGTGGTAACCGTCGGTTCGCAGTCCATATAAAAGTCCAAATTTTTCAGATGATGCCACCAAAATCCCTTCTGCCTCGAGCGACAAATCTTTGCAAACCGGAAGTTCTTCTTTTTCGATTGGCATCTCTCCGATATCTGAAACAAGATCCGTCCTTGGTCACGCGCCCTAGAAGGTAAGGTCTTTTTCTTTCTTTTTTTTTTTTTTCTTTTCTGAGGGGCGATGGCGTCGGGTCTCCTGGTGTTTCACCAGAGACGCGACGCTGTCGTCAGATTCGAGCCGTGGATGGCGGCTCGAGTTACTGTTAGGGTTTAAGGGATTTGTCCCATGCCGCCGTGCGGGACAACATGCGATGGCTAAAATGACCTATCCGTTGGTGTTGCAGACTGCGGAATGGAACCGTCAACGTCCAGACCCAAGGAAGGAGCCAGTTCGTCTTCGCGGGATGTTCCCGCGGACGCATCC